CATGACGCACATCCTCCCTTCTTTCTCTGGTTAAAGAAACATACATATAACTTTTATTATAATATATAGAACTAATTTATTATATGATAATGTATATGCAAATATGCAAACTAAAAAAAATAAAAAGAAAAAATACATTAGATAAAACAATATATTAAATTATAAAAATATAAATAGTATATTAATTAACAATTTTTTTTTAATTTCATTAGTATCTCTATCAGTGTTAACTTCATAAAATATAAAAACAAGTATTATAATATGCAAATAATGAATGAATGAAATGAATAAATAATGAATAGAAATAAAAAATTTATAAATCATAGACAAAGCAATATATATTTGGAAAATAAAGATACAAATATTGACAAACATTAATAACCCATACAGCACATTAACATTGAATCAATGTTTTAGAAATGTTGAGTTGCAACTATGCTGATGTTGAATCAACACTGAATCAATGTTGCATAAACGTTGTTGCAATGTAAAAATGTCCGCGAATGTTGATTTATATTTGTAATGTCTACGTCTGATGGACATTGACACAAAATTGTTTCAATATTAAATCTATGTTGATGGAACATTGATATCATACCGATATGACGTAGATTTTAGATTTTTGCATTACTCTTCCACGATTTTACGTATATTTCACTTTTATAATGCAATTTTAAATTGTCTATTATTACTAATTTATATATGAAATTATGATATAATATAGCAAAATAAAACATAATTTAATATAAATGAGAAAAATAAGAGACATATAAGTCAAGCCGAATCTTCTTACTTGAAAAATTTTTGTTTATTGAAGAAACAACATTAAACATTTCGACCTGTATTAAATTATCTTCAGTAACATCTGAGGAAAAACATAGAATATATAAATCTTAAAACAAATTTGTGTTACATTAAAATGAAATATTGCTATTGGACTTACATAGAATCAATCAAAAAGACAAATAAAAAATCTCCAGTCACTTGCTCCCAACATGAACAGGGACAGAAACATGATACAACAAAGATCAGGTCAGACAAATGCCCAAAGATATTCTTAGTATCTAAATTATATAAAAACCAATTAAAATGCTAAATCACCCAAACCGTCAAAACGTATTAAAATTAGTCAGATAAAAAAAAATCGTCAAATAGTCAAAACAAATAGTCAAAAACTAAAAAGTCGGAGGTTGGGAAAATAAAAGAATAAAAATAAAAATAAAGATAAATAAGAAATAAATATTAAAGAAATAAATAAAAAAAATTAAATTAAATAAATAAATAAATAAAAAATAAAAATGATTATGTTGAATTGTAAAATTATAAAGTCATTATGTCCATAAAAATGAGTCAATAAATATCTATGAGCGAAAAGTTGAGTAGTCTGTATCAAATAGTAATCATTACTGTTGTCAGAAAAACAAACCGATACAGGCTTGAAGAAAGGAGACAAGAAAAGGAATAAGAGAAGAGAAAAGAGAAAAATGTATATGGTGGAGACGGAACAATAGGAAGAGGAGGAAAGAAGGAGTTAAATCGGGGCTAACTGGTTAAGGACAGGCAGATAATTGTCAGACAAAAGATCCGTGTCGCTCTGTTTATTGAAGTTGTTTTGATGTAAAAAAATTTCAATGAAAATTTAATAAATTGGTGACCTTTCTTGTCTGATTTCAGAAAAAAATTTTAATGAATATTTATGTATATACATACATATATGCATATTCAATGTAGCAACATTTTACAATCAATGTTGAAAAGCCAACACAAATTAGATGTAAAAAAACTCCGCACATTTATATGAAACATTACAACGTTTTATCAACATTTTTTTAATGTTATATTATGTACTGTCTGGATAAATATGATTAAAAGTATGTCATATTAAAAGATACAATAATACAATAAACATGCAATTTAAATGCAGATGTTAAATAAAACAGAATGCTCAATTCTTCTAATATTCATACATTAATGTTTAATATTTATTTATTTCTTCCATACAACTCAATCATTAGTTCATGCCTCAGCTACTCAATCCACCTTGGTACGAACCAAAGGAAAAGCAGTAAAGAAAGAAATTTAACAGTTAAAGTTAAAATTTTAATTTTTTCATAACACGTATAATTTTATAAAATACCTTTTATTTATTATACATTTTAAATATAACATGCAAACAAACATAAAGATATAAAGATTAAAGATTTAATATTAAAATTAAACACTTATAAAAGTAAAATTTATGCTAGCAAATAAATTGTCACACTCATATACTTAATAAATATCAATTAGTAAATGTTGTGCATAAAGATAAGACTATGTGTGTGTATATATATATATATATATATATATATATATATATATATATATATATATATATATATATATAATA